TTTTTTTTAATGTTTGAGAGAGAGAGAAAGAGAGCACATGCAGGGAGGGGCAGAGAGAGGGGGACAAAGGATCCAAAGCGGGCTCTGTGCTGATAGCAGAAAACCCAAAGTGAGACTCAAAGTCACAAACTAGGAGATCATGACCCGAGCTAGCATCAGACACTTAACCAATTGAGCTACCCAGGTGCCCAAGCATGCAACTCCTAGTCTCAGGGTTGTGAGTTCAAGCCTCATGTTGGGCATGGAGCCGACTTAAAAAAACAAAACAGAACAAAACCAGTAAGTATATAAGTGAAACCATAAGAAAACCAGTCCTTCTTGAGCAAAGGCATTAAGTGCATTCCAAAGATCTTCTAGATATGATAGGAATCTTTTTCTTAACAGCCATTGCAAACATTTGCACATTAAAAAACTTCACAGGTTTTTAATTGTGATAATATGAAAATGCTGCTTTTGTTTCTTTCTCCCTTTTCTCAAAACAACTTCAAGAGGAGCCATAAAGAGCAGGAGGATGAGAATCCCACACAGGCACTCTTCTTTCTCCTAGTCACATACAATCGGATTATACTTTAGACCATTACATACAGCTAAACTCCAAGGCATTAACAAATCTATAAAATGCTGGCTGGCAGAGGCCACGAATGCTTTGTTAGTCTCCTTTAGCCCATCTGCCTCCACCACTGTTCAAAGAAGGGCAAACTATACCTTAAGGCTAAACAAGAGGACTACCGGAGCCACTCAGTACCAACCTTAGGGGTGCCTGGGTGGCTCAGTCTGCTGAGCGTCTGGCTTCAGCTCAGGTCATGATCTCGCGGTTCGTGGGTTGGAGCCCCACATCAGGCTCGCTGCGGACAGTCTGTCAGTGCAGAGCCTGCTTTGGATCCTGTCCCCCTCTCTCTGCCCCTCCCCTGCCTGCACTCTCCCAAAAATAAATATTAAAAAAACAAAACAAAAAAAACCCTCTTAATTTATGGGTCACTATTTACAATATCAAACAACCTGACTTTATCACGATAGTGATTTTTCCTTCTTTATTGGTATTATATTATTATTATTTATTGCTTATGATAAATTTTAAGATATAAAAGGTACCTGCCGATGGGCCGCCTGGGTGGCTCGGTCGGTTAAGCTTCCAACTTCGGCTCAGGTCACGAAATCATGGTTCATGAGGACAAGCCCCATGTCAGACTCTGTGCTGACAGCTCAGAGCCTGGAGCCTGCTTCAGATTCTGTGTCTCCCTCTCTCTCTGCCCCTCCCCTGCTCATGCTCTGTCTCTCTCTCAGAAATGAATAAACATTAAAAAAGTTAAAATAATAAATAAAGAAATAAATAAAAAATAAAAGGTACCTGCCGAGAAATACTGACTTAATGCGTGACCACACATGACAAAGTGCAAAAAGTGAGGGCATAAATGCTTGTAAGGAAGCACGTGAAGGGAAGTGTTACAACAGACAACTGCAAAAACCTAAGACTCAAACTCCAAAAACCCACCATCCTGTGATATCCCTTTATTTACTATCTCTGAAAGTTCAAAGAAAAATACTTACTTAATGACATCAGAGAGATGAATTTCCGATCCACAGATGCAGTAAAATTCTGTATGACAGATTTTTCTTCTTGTCCATGGAAGAGTGTGTATTTGCTTAAGGTGCGAGAGCTAAATGTTTGTATGTAAGCAAAGTGATTTCCATGCTGCACACAAAAAAAGGGTTTATTTAAAAATATTTCCATTTCAACCAACTGTACCTAAATGTTAAAGCCAACTGTCACTCTAATTACTTCAACGAGTGCTTAAAAACCTCTTATCCATTTAAACGTATTCTAAAATGTATTTCCTTGTAACTAATAGGTTTTTTAGCATTTAAAAATACACACACACACACACACACACACACACACACCTGAGAGAAATACTAATGCCCGATTTTAGTTTTAAAAATAATATAGGTGAATTTGAAATGTCACAAAACAGGCCAGGAATTAGAGCGGTCACTTACTTTTTCAGTAATAAAGATTAAGACAGGATGCCTAAATACCATGAAAACCTTTGTCCACCTGAAAAACAGAAAAATTATAAAACATCAAATCACCAGCTGAGAGAAACCCATCAAACTAAATTTAAGAGGATACCTTATCTTCAATATTTTTTAGAGCCAGAGAGACACCAGAGAACATTTGATTCGGTGTTTCAAGATACATATACGACAGGGAATCAGTAGGCATTTCTCTGTCAAATGCATCTCTGGATTAAATGCAAGTTCCCGGAGCTTTGAAAGACAATGTGAGGGGCGCCTGGGTGGCTCAGTCGGTTAAGCGTCCGACTTCAACTCAGGTCACGATCTCGCGGTCCGTGAGTTCGAGCCCCGCGTCGGGCTCTGGGCTGATGGCTCAGAGCCTGGAGCCTGCTTCTGATTCTGTGTCTCCCTCTCTCTCTGCCCCTCCCCCGTTCATGCTCTGTCTCTCTCTGTCTCAAAAATAAATAAACATTAAAAAAAAATTTAACAAAAAAAAAAGGAAGACAATGTGAATTGTAAAGCTCCAAAGGGGTGGCTGTGGGACATTGTGCAGTGTTATTAACCTTATCTGACTCACCTCCTCTCCCTTTTCAGTCACTTTTGGGACCCATGCTCTGAGGAAAACATGAGGCGCTCATGTGCCTTCCTCGAGCCGCAGAAGGACAGTGGGCCGGGGGTTGGGGGTGACGGGCTTCTAGGCAAGGCCACACACAGCCAGAGTCTGGCAAAGTGGCCATTAGAACCCAGGTCCTCCACCTACGTCCCTTTTCCGAGGGATTTCCTCCACTTTCCTCCACACATTAGGAGCATTCAACAAGATACACATAGTCACTGTCCACACTGTTCACTCAGTACAAGCCTTCACCTTGACTTTCAGGAACTTAGCTTGCATCAAGTAGACCTGGACAGGGAGCAAGTTCACTAAACAGGAAATGTGATAAAATAATGGGGACTGGAGGGGATTTCCTTCTATCATTTGAGTGAGTCATTTTTCCAGTTTTATTCCAGAATTTGGGACAGCAGAGGGCTCAAAGCACTATCATGATTTTACTAACAACAAACTACTTTTGCTCAGGGGTAAGGGTTCCAACCTTGGCAGTCAGGGCAATAGGACAGAAAACAGAGATTTTGGTCTCCTGGAGTTACCCACTTCATATTCAAATAATTGACTATCCAGTTCTCTGTCATTAGAACAGGATTCGTATGTCCCTGCTGTTTCCTCAATCGCCTAACACTCTCAAGGCTACTGGAGGATGCTAATTTGGCCAACAGCACATACATGGTTTTTGATTAAGGTTTGTTATGTTTATAACCAAGGCAAAGAATGTCAAAAAACATGCAGAGTCCATTATTTTGGTAAAAATTCACTTACAAGTATTGGAACTTACTTAATCACTTCATCATCAGAGAGAACAGTTTCAATTTTCTGCTGGGGCTCTGCAAGCAAGGCCTCTAAACCACGAACAGCACCTTCCTTGAATAGCACTAAGGGTTCTGTCCCTTGTATTGAATGTATCCTATAGATCTCAGCTGACAACTTGAAAAACATAAGAATGCATTAATTTTTATTCTAAAACAATTGTCACCTAATAAAATAAGGATGTTTATAGAAAGCTTATTTTTAAGAACTGATTTGTCTTCATTTTGATTCAGCTTTGTATGGTTCCAAAGTCAAATGTACAACATAAATATACATAGAAGCCTTTTCTTTATAAAGTTTATTTATTTACTTATTTATTTAGAGTGCAAGCAATAGGTTTAAAGGCTGAGAGGGAGGGAGAGAGAGCATCCCAAGCAGGCTCCACACTGTCAGCATAGAGCCTGACTCGGGGCGCGATCTCACGAACTGCAAAATCATGACCTGCGCGGAAATGAAGAGTAGGATGCTCCACCGACTGAACCACCCAGGCACCCCCACACAGAAGCCTTTTACTCCTATTCTGTGTACTCGGTCCCCTGCTCTCCCCCTTAAGTATTTTTTTGCATTTCTATGCATTTTTGGTTTATCCTTTCATTGTGAGTACTGGAGGTTAGGTACAACCTAGCTTTCCAAAAACTGAAGGTGGAAGAGGTATAAATAAAGCCACTAATTAGATTTAAGCAGTTGTGGTGCAAGACAAAGACTGATGCCATACTTACAACTACAGCCTGTAAACCCAAGAAAATAAGTTAACCCCACTGTAAAAATCAAGATCATGTTACCGCAGGGTAAATGAAAAGACGGGGGCCGAGAGACAACATAGTTAGCTAGCCAGAAGTTTCAAGGTTCCAGGTGATAAATGCCATTATATCTGAACCAGCTCCATTATAAGCCACGTCTACAACTTGCCAATTAGGGGCTCCTAAGTGGCTCAGTTGCTTACTCCTCCAACTTTGGCCCAGGTCCTGATCTCACAGTTCCGTGAGTTCAAGCCCCTCGTCGGGCTCTGTGCTGACAGCTCAGAGCCTGGAGCCTGCTTCAGATTCTGTGTCTCCCTCTCTCCGCACCTCCTCCACTCACATTCAGTCTCTCTCTCAAAAATAATAAACATTTTAAAAATGTTTAAAATTTGCCAATTATACTTAGAATTAGACATCTTTGTTTATTCATAGCACACGCAGAGTGGGGGGAGGGGGGCAGAGAAAGGGGGAGAGGGACTGAGAGAATCTTAAGCAGGCTCCACACGCAGCACGGAGCACGATGCTGGACTGGATCCCATGACCGTGAGATCATGGGAAGCTCAGTCGATTGAGCCACCCAGGCACCCTTAGAGTTAGACATCTAGAACCGGAAGGAACTTTGGGGCGCCTGGGTTGGCTCAGTCAGTTAAGTGTCCAACTCTTGATTTCAGCTCAGGTCATGATCTCATGGTTCATGAGACTGAGCCCTGTGTTGGGCTCTGCAACAGTGTGAAGCCTGCTTGGGACTCTCTCTCTGCCCTGTCCCCACTAGCGCTCTCCACTAAAATAAATAAAAAAGTAAAAAGTAAAAATAAATAAATAAATAGATAGATAGATAAATAGATGGATAGAAAGAACTGGAAGGAACTTTCAAGGTTACCCTAATTTGAGACTCTCAATTTGTAAGAAAAAGTTAATTAACATACTTTACGTCATCACTAGAAAATGCACAGTTCCTCATGGTTATTTTTATTGCATTCTGAGCCACTCTTAAAATACATAATGCAGGGACGCCTGGGTGGCTCAGTCAGTTAAGCACCCAGCTCTTGATTTCAGCTCAGGTCATGATCTCACAGTTCGTGAGTTCAAACCCTGCATCGGGCTCTGCGCTGATAGTGGAGCCTGCTTGGGATTCTCTCTCTCAGTATGTATGTAAATATATATATATAGGCGTGTGAGTGGCTCGGTCAGTTGAGTGTCCAACTTCAGCTCAGGTCATGCTCTCACAGTTCGTGGGTTCAAGCCCCGTGTGGGGCTCTGTGCTGACAGCTCAGAGCCTGGTGTCTGCTTTGGATTCTGTGTCTCCCTCCCTCTCTCTCTCAAAAATAAACATTGAAAAAACAATACATGTATGTATGTGTGTGTACATATATATGTGTATATATATATATATATATATATATACACA